AACAGGCTTTGTGATCTCTGAACAAAGAGCTAAACACAACTGTGACATGAAGCTTTTGGTTTTTACTGGTTATTTGTCACATCCTGGCTGTCGTTCCATTTTTAAAAAGGCTGTTGAGCATTTTCTTAAGTTGTGAAGTGTGACTTGAAGGGAACGTTTCAGTGTTGTGCAAACCCAGCTCAACTACAGCTGACAAATAGATCAGTTTGATGGTCAGACACTAGTCGTACATTAGTCTCTGCTGGCTACATCTATGAAGATCTGAGCACTAAAACAACTTCCGGGAGACGTAGCTGCGTGACAGTGTGTGAAAATAACTGAATCCTGTTTATAAGGAAACATCTTACTGCAGTGCTTAATTGGTCTTTACAGATGAAACCACTTCTTTGACATTTAGTCCTAAAACCTGCCTCTGAGGTGAAAACTGTGTGCAGCATGTTAGACTGAAACAGTTCTGCTCCTGTATGATCGTTCAAATGAAAGGATTCACAGCTCTGGTCCTGACGTCACAGATCGTCACAGTTCATCCACACAGTGCTTTTCATTTATGTAGAAACCTCAATCCTGGACAAAGAAAGTCAATTGGTAGATGTTAATACATGGAGTGTTTTTGGATCTTTAATTATAACGATTTTGAATGGTTTTTATTGAAATGTGGTTTCTTTAAATTCTTTGATCAAAAGGATGACTTCTCACAGAGCGGGCTGATGTGGCTGATGCTCGGTCAGAAGCAGCAGGCAGTGAGTGGGAGCTCCACTCTGCTTCAGCTCCAGGTGCCTAAATCGGCTGGTTCTCGTGACATGGTTCAGGATAGCATCAGATCTCAGCTGACAACAAGTGTTCCAGTCATAAAAATCAGAACCGCTGATGCATCGTCGTCCATGTTAGCTGTTGGTTCTCTTGACCTTTGGAGTGAAAGATGCTTAACCTCCTAGGACCTGCGTCCACATATGTGGACATCACATTTTGGGTTATTTAGACCAAAATACTCAATTTTGCTCTACAAGGGCCTGATATCCTTTTACGAGGACATTATGCTGCTACTGTTCTATCAAATGTTAAACGAATATCCATGTGTGGCTCTTATTTTTCTTAAAAACAAGAATAAGGAAAAAAAAAATCTGGTAATTCTTTGTTTTTACATTCATTGGGTCCCAATCAAATATCAAGAGAATTAAATGCTGCCGTGGAAGAGTTCGGTCTTAGGAGGTTAAAGATCTTGACAAATGGATAGAGCTCACCTTGTGCCAGCTTGTAGTCACACTTGAAGCATCACGGTGTCGGACTGTAGTCCACACAGTAACTACGTGACAACATGAACTCGTGCTGCTGGCAGACCTAAGTGGTCGGGCGTATTCATCTGTAATTCTTGATTTCATTCAGAATCATTCAAGTGTGACTGAAACTGTAGATCTGCTGGCTGCAGACATACAGGCCGCAGGCGTCATCTTCATTTCCTGGACGTGAAGTCCCAAAGACGATGCTCTGGTTGGATTTCTGAGTTTTGTACATAACTGAGTATGGAGTCGATTCAAAGATGTTCACGAACACATTTTCTCTCCATCTGCATGAATGCATTGATGGCGTGGAACATAGCTGGCAGTGCGTTCCATGTTTGTGTCCAGTATGAAGGAAGCACCGTAACCCCATGGCGTACTGGTTCCAGTTAGAGTGGTGATGTGTAGACAGAGAAACGCTGTGGGGTTAGGGTTCGTCACTTTGACGTGCTTTTGAGTTTCTCTGAGGTTTTTTCATTTGAATGAAGATTTCTTCTTCATGGACATGTTTCTGATTAATGGGGGAAATGTATGTGTTTGAGTAATGCCTGTGTATTTGTGCCCTGGACTAAATTGACATATCCAAACTGTATTAGCTCGTATGTTACTCTGTCACCAAAGTTTGGTTGATGGGCCACAGCAAACTGACAGATGGGAAAGTGTTCCCACACAGAATCTACTAAACAAGCGTTGAGTCTTGTTTAAACTGCTGTTTCCAAGGTCAGTAACGATGGTTCATGCTCAGCACTGTGGCTTCTGTTGTAAATGAGAAGGTATAAATATGTGGTTTCATATTTCTTGTAGCTGGATATGAATTGTTTTTCGTTTGGTTGGAGTCTTTTTTAAACTCTGGTATCAAGCAGTGACAGCACAGACAAGTCTGCTTCATGTTTGTTGCTTTCACCACTTCCACGAGCGTCAGCCACACCTGCCCTGAAGGTGAATAGATGGGATTTAGTGCGATAGCGTCAGCACGTTCTTGTATGGTTTGACTCCGTGTAGCTGTGTGCATGCCCTGCCTGCAGGGGCTGACAGCCATAAACAAATCTCATTTCATCCAGTGAACCTGTCTGGACACCTGATCCCTTGAAGAGCTACTGGGCTGCGCACTCTACAGAAAATGTGAATTTCACAGAAATTGAGTCGTCACTTCCCTTCCACCACATAGGTTAGCATTTCACACACGTGTGGTGACTCGCCTGATGCCCGTAATACCCAATAGTGTTATAATTTACCTCACTGTTCTTCTTTGAGCTCCAGAATTCTGAGAATAATGACAGAAGTGCCCGTCTCCTTTGTGAGTGAGCAGAGATGAACACCAGTGGAAACCATATTTCTGTAGGTCGTGTGAAACGTGGAGCTGAGTTCTGAATGTTCCAACCTTATGGAAGTTTGCTCTTTGGATCTTGTGAATGTTTGTGGTTTTACAAGAGATGTTAGCAAGCCGCTCTTTTTATTAGCACTTTTTGTAAATGGGATGCGTTTATTTCCTGCAGCATCGAGTCTTTTATTACAAATGTATAGATTCTATATTTAGCTCTTTTAGAGAACAATAACATGTAAATACAATATAAATGTTTATTTTTGCAGGTACAATTTTGACAGTGTTTTTCCTATAAAGTGTCATTTTTGCTTTACTTGCACAATTGCTCTGTGTTTCTCATTGAGGCCTCTTGCTTTGCAGCTTTGACTTAATTGTCTCCTTTGACCGTTCGTACGCTGCTTTACGTCACAGTGTACCGTGGTGAAGCTGAAACGAAGCTACTTAACAATATCACTGTGTCACAGAGTGTTTAGATGTTCCAAAAATAAGATGTGTCCAATAACTCCATGAGTGTGTCCTCTTCTGTCATTTTTACACCTCGGTGTGGTACATTACTTGATTTCCTCGTGGTCTCTGTCTGAAAGCTGCAACTATGTGATGTAAACTCTTATGGACTGTACGACAGATTCCAGGTACAGAGAAGCAATAACAGTGGATCAAAGCTGATTACAAGTATTTTAGCGTGTGTGTGTGTGCGCGTGTGCACGCATGCATGTGTGTGCGTGGTCCTGGCACGTGCTGAGGCAGGAGATGCTCTTCAATGAGAGGCACAGACCAATTCAAACTTCTTTATAAGCTTCAATGGTACCAGTGAACTTTATTGAATGTTATGAAAAAACACTGCAATATATTTTGGTATTGGATCAAGCTGCTAACACACTTCTAAAGCTCCTTAAGGTGCTACAGACCTCCTCACTATCTCTTCAGATGTATCGTCTGTACAAAGTATCCCGTGTAGCTGAACAGTTGGCATGTGTGTGCCTAGTCGTACTTTATAGCTTCATATATTTTCTTGTACTGTGACTTTTGTAGTCTTTGCCTTTAATATAGCCCCCCCACCCGCACTCACCTGCGTGTGAGCGTCCACAGACTGAGTTGTGTTGGGAGGTTACGCTGATGCTGGGAAACTGATAGCAGTGAGCTGCATCCAGCCACATTTAAAAACAGCATCCTGTGACGATGATCGACTCGTTGCAAATTCTTAATGTTCTTCATATTTTACTTTTTTTTACTTTTACATTTATCTTACAAACTACTGTTGTATTTTTATAGGCAAAGTATCACCTAAACACACAAATACATATACAGCTCACACTTGTCTGTGTGTGTTTATAGGTTGTGTAAAATAAATGTTAATGCTGCAGCTTTGACATCATCCAAAGAAGCAGATTATTTATTGCCTGGCAGAATAACCTGATTTCATTCACATATGTTGCTGCTATAATAGAAGAGCTGCAGTTGACAACTCCGATGTTTTATTCAATGTAATAAAGAAATCAAACAGAAGAATCCAGCTCGTCTGTTTTCAACCTGTCACTCTGAGAACTTTGTTACAGTGACACACAGTGACACACAGTGTTACTGACACGCAGACTGCAGGTTTCCCCAACCTTACAAACAGGTCTTGATCAGTGGTTGTTGATCAATGGTCATGAGAATTTGCATAATTATGATGAACTGACCTCCCAGCCCATTCAGTGGTTTCAGTCATTATGTAAATGTGCTGTTTATACCATTGGGGAAACCTGCAGTCAGCTGAGACTGAAGACGTCACCTGATGATGACGACACGTTTCTCCTACTGAAAGCATCCAGATGAACAGAATCAACTTTTGGAGAGTTACGCTTCCTTACAACATGAAAAATCTCTCTGACCCATGAAAATGATACCTGGTACACCGAAGCTCGCATCAGACTGGTTCCAGTAGCTTGCATTAAAACACAGTAATGTACAGCTCCATGTTTTCCTTTGTTACCAGTGAGCAGGCTGTTAGAAAGTGAGCATCTGTTTTTGCGTGCTGGAAAAGTCGGAGAGAGTGAAACAGACAGGCTGTGAGCTCCACGCTCCTCGGTGGAGCACCCTCCCCCAGCCTCACACTCAGTCCACCCTGACTGTTCAGGCAGGGCTCCCCATCCGCAGCTTTAAACACTGCGCACACATTACCAGCTCACACGGCTCGCCGGGTCGTATATATGACCGTAGATGTTATTATGCTCACTATCCCAGATGTTGTTCACACAAAGCCGTCCTTTTACCCGGCTCTGCTCTGTTGTATAGAGTAAACTGAGGTGAACCATCGGCATGAACTCAGTGACCCCAAACAGAAGCATTACGTCCTCCAGAACAGCAGGCGGCAGTGCGGAGCGCGTAAAAGCCTGAGCTGAGCGCAGAGTAGCTGTTCGGCTTACAGAGCAGTATGGTGCACAGCGTGCCATGCCGTCTCCCATCCCGCTGACCCGCCTGCTGCCCAAAGACTTCTGCCCCTTTCTGGACACGGGGCCCTGCAGCAGCCCGCTGACTAAGCACGGCTCCACCTTACAAGTGCCCGCTCAGCGGCTCCATGGCCGAATCGCCACTCGGCTTTGGTCCTCGGTTATCCACTGGAAGCAGCTGCGCTCCGTGCAGCCCGTGGGCTCGGGAGGCTTCGGCTCGGTCGACCAGGCGGAGTACTTCGGAGAGACCGTGGCGGTGAAGAAGGTCAACAGGTCCACCAAGAACAAGCTGGCGTCCCAGCAGAGCTTCTGGGCCGAGCTGAACGCGGCGCACCTGCGCCACGCCAACATAGTGCGCGTAATAGCTGCCACCACCTGCGTCCCGCCACAGTGTGGAGACGAAGGCAGCATCGGGGTAATACTGATGGAGTTCGTGGGCAGAAGGAACCTCCAGCAGGTCATTTACGGTGGCACGGAGCCGCTGGGACAGCACAGGTGCGTCAGGTACTCGTCGGACATCGTTCACGGCCTGAGGTTTCTCCACTCCCACGGCGTCGTGCATCTGGACATTAAACCAGCTAACGTGCTGCTGACCAGCGAGGACGTGTGCAAAATCGCAGACTTCGGCTGTTCTCTCAAACTGGACCCTGGCTGTGAGGTCAGCGCCGCGAGCCACCAGCCTCTCGTGGGTGGCACGTACACGCACAGAGCCCCAGAGCTGCTCAGAGGCGAGAGGGTGACTCCTAAAGCGGACATCTTTTCTTTCGGCATCACTCTGTGGCAGCTTCTCACCAGAGAGCCGCCCTACACCGGCGACAGGGAGCACGTCATCTACGCGGTGGTGGCTCACAATCTGCGGCCTCCTGTTCAGGACCACCAGGTGTTCCGGTCGGAGCCGGGGAGGCTGTTTCGGGCTCTGCTGAGCCGCTGCTGGAACGGAACGCCCCCCTGCAGACCCAGCGCCCAGGAGCTGCTGTCGTCCCTGGAGCAGCTGCAGCCACAGACCTGATTCGATCTCCGAAGCTGCGCACGGGTGTGTGGACAGCTGTGGGTTCGAATATGTTCAGCTCCAGGAAACGAGCACTGTGCGCTAGGCCAGGTCAAAGCTGAGGAAACCATGGAAACGCTGGGCGTCTATGACTACATGTTTCTACTGTGCAAATAATAATAAGTGTGATAGTCCTCAGATTGTAGCATTAAAATGAGCTGGTTTATTCTCCTCTCAGCTGTTCGTGCTGCTGTCAGGTCGGTCCTGTGGGACCAGGACACCGTTTCCTCCCAGGCGTCCTGATCCATCTGTGACAGTTTCCAAATGTTTCTTAAATGTGTTGTGAATCCTAGTGTGTGAAACGTGATATTTGGGTGTGATGGGTTTCATTAAAATTCTTTTTTATGCCACGTTTGTCTGGAGTTCACATCATTAGAGGGCAGCAGCTGGTCGGAGGCTCGGTGGGCCACTGCTGCCGTGTCATGGGAGGACACTTAGTGTTCAAGTAGTACAAAACCAACTGTTTGTTTACATTTCAAATATTGTGTAGCAGCACTAAACACATGGGTCCTCTCTGACTGCCATTGTGTTCGTATTTAACCACAAACTGCATTAGATTCTTCACGTCAGTGTACGGCTGCAGGTGGGGCTGAGGTGGGCCCGGCTACCAGCCTCATTCAGCCAATCACAGGTTTCTCCTTATTTACCAATCCACCCCCGCACACACAGACGTGCATCCTGAGCGCGTGAGGAGGTTACCCACTGTCAGAGTTGTCGTTGAGCCTCGTAATGATTTGCAGCTGTGTGCAGAAACAACGAGATTCTAATGAAATGACCAAACTCAGACTTGTTCATGATAAAGTTTATTTGTACTCTGACGTCGAGCTTGGGTCTGCCGCCCGGCCCGTCGTCTGATCCAGCTGCTGTAGATCTCCTTCATCCTTAAAGCTCACAAACTCAATGCATATACAGAGAAGTACGATTTGTGAAGCCGGACAGCAGAGGGCGCTGCTGCTCATTTAACCCTTGTATGGTGTTCGGGTCTGTGAGACCCGTTTTCAGTTTTTTCAGAAAAATTAAACAATTATTTTTTCAACCTGAAATTCATTGGCTTTGGCTTATTTTCTGTGAAGAACATAAATCTGAACTAATTTTCAGTGACCGCATACTCTACCTCCCCCCACGCATTTACATTACATACAAGGTGTTCGGGTCCACTGGACCCAGGTCTAGTAAAAGTGTTTAAAGTGCAGGTCCTGTGTTCCCACACTCTGTCTTCCTCCTTTCTGGTGCTGCTGATAGTGTTTTCTTCCCCTCCTGCTCCCGCACAAAGTTGCAACATTGTTGAAAATTCAACTATCAACACTGTCTGCTCTTACATCTCACACATTTTACCCTCTTTCTTGAGGGATCCAAATTTTATTTTCTCATACCCTGTCCCTCCTGCAAATTAGGGGCATAATACTATAAATAAGACTTTGCCATCCAATTGATTTTGGAAGAGAGAGGAGCTTCTGATGATGATGTTGACAAAGAGGTTTCAGAACATTTCACATTTCTGAAAATTCAGAGTCTGACAGTGACTTTGAAGAAGAGGAGGTTGAGCACCATTTAGTAACAAAACAAAGACGAGTACCCCATCTGCTGCCAGCTCCAGGACCAGAACAAGCCCACCAGACAGCAAGTGAAGAAATATGGATGTCAATAACTGGTGAAATTGAATGGTCTTCTTGCCCAAGAAATGAGCCACCCTGCAGAGCTGTTACTGTGATAAGCCAGGGCCAACACGGCTGACAGTTACTCATGTGCAGGACATCAAGTCATCATTTGAGCTTTTCATCCCAGATTCCATCCAGAAAATTATTCTGCATTGCAGTAATCTAGAAGGAAGATGTTTTTTTGGAGAGAGGTGGAAGGAGACCAAATTCATCTAAGAACCCCAAAGGCCTACTTTGGGCTTCTTATCCTTGCAGGAGTTTTCAGGTCCAAAGGGGAATCCACAGAATCCTGTGGGATGCAGAAACCGGCAAGAACCTATCCGTGCATCAATGTCTCTGGAAAACTTCCACAAAATTTCCAAGATTATCCGTTTTGATAACCGAGACGACAGACCAGCTCAACGGCAGAGAGACAAGCTAGCTGCCATCAGGACAGTGTGGGATAAGTGTGTGCACCACCTCCCCCTGTTTTACAACCCTGGGCCTAATGTCACCATTGATGAACAGCTGATCCCATTTAGTTGTGAAACATATTGCTTCACGTGTAAATGTGTTGTCTTTCCACTCACTCCACTTGATTATAACTGATTTATTTTTATAACATTTTATAAAACAAAAAAGAAACGAGAAGCACATTAATTCATAAATGTGATCTAACAAAGGTAAAGGGAAAAATTAACCATGTTTGCTGTTCATATGGTTTGTAACTGGGATGAAGTAAACATCTGTTGAGTAATTTAACATAAAATTGTTTGATAGTGTTAAACTCTGGCGGGCCCACCAGACCCATGAACACTGGCTGAGTAAGAAAAATATGAACACCACACAAGGGTTAACTGCAGATTAGACACCGGCTGTTCATCACTGTAAAAATACAACGAAATACTATAAACTAACACTCAGTGTGAAGCTGTGTGTCACATGAGCGTCACAGGAACACGTCTCACTGACTGACACACAAATGTTACACACTTCTACCACGGTCTGTAAGGAAAACAATGTGTGAATGACAGCCTCAGATCGCACTGCAGACACACACAGGTAAACGCAGGTGTGCAGCGTTACAGTGAGGAGAGGCAGATGTGCTGCAGCTGTCCTCCATCATCAAAGCTGCAGGGCCCACCGACAGCGCCTCTGCTACACTCCAGTCGCGATGCGATGTCACAGAAGAGCAAACAGCTGTTCTCACAGATGAGCAGGACCTGTACAAACTGCAGTTTCAGTTACAGCAGCGACTCAAAGCAGGGACGTGATGTCCTGATAAACACTACACAATAACACGAAGCAGCATCGTTGGAACAATATGAATAAGCGGATACAGCAACAGGTCCACAGCACGAAGCTGTCATCAGACACAGTCCCGCAGTGAGAGTCACTACAGCGGTTCCTCACCTGGAGCTACGAACAGGCCGATCACATAACGGTGACCCTCTCAGGGGAAACGTGGGCAGCTGAGCCCACCGGCTCCATGCGCTTGCCCCTCATCTCACTGCTGTCCTGACCCCTGCGGATCTGGTGGAGCTTGCGGGCAACGCAGGGGAGCAGGATCAGCAGCTTCCCAACGATGACGCACACCGGGAGCGCCAGGGCCACGACGAAGCTGGGCGGCAGGTAGAAGCGGTAGGCCTCCTCCTCAAAGGCGCGTTTCCAGCCAAACAGCAGCCCGTGGAAGGTCGCAATGAGCAGGGCGATGTACCCCAGAGTGGACTGGAGCAAAGACAGGAACACTCAGACACAGGCTTTTGTTGTGATCACATAACAGCACGACAGTGACTTACATTAGACACGCCCCTAACATCGAGACTACAGCAGAACATGTTTACACGCATGTAGTCTGTCATGTGACTGTCTAAGAGAGCATCTCGGTCACAGCACGTTTCCCCAAGTGTTCACAGCAGGAGAGCTGGGAGTGACGGCACGCCGCCTCAGAGACACAGCAGCTAAGCTGGTTTCAGGTACACTCGTCACAAGCCGCCATTACGCACTACTGATCACGTACACAGACTAGACTGGACTCCGAATACTCTCTGAGGCACGTGACACGACGGGCTGGTGGACTCTGTGGGTACCTGTATGAAGCCGAACTCCCTCCAGTTGAGCGTGCTGTGGACAGACGGGATGGAGGTGACAGCCAGCAGAGACAGCAGCCCCAGACTCATGATCCCAAAGGAAACGTACATCTCCACCCTCCACACCTCTTCCTCGTTCCACGTGCTTTCCATGTTCGAGTGGACCTGCCATCACATGAGAACACGTCACAGAGAGTACAGTTCATCAGGAGAAACCCTACCGCTGCTGCCAATCAGATTACAGCGTTTCTGGTTTACTCCACGAGCCTCCCATCGCTCCTCATGTGTTTGACACAGATGTTAGACAACGCTGACGTGAACACGTCTCTACTGTGACACAAACAGAAAAGTTAAAACCAGGAAGGTTGGTGGTTCAATCATGTGGTTCAAGATGCTAACCCCCTATGATGCATCCATGGGAGTGTGAGTGTTAGACAGGAAGCTTGTGTGATGCTGCCTCAGGGTGACACTTATGCTGACCTGTAACATTTCTGGATATTTGAAGGGAAAACCTGTGATGTTGCCAGTTCTCTTGCTAATGTGTAACGATTCAAATCAAAGTGATCTTCAGAAACAGCACTGATGTTTGTAAAGATGTGCAAAAAGCTGTTTCACTGACCTGCTGATAAGCAGTGTTGAGCAGCAGGTATCTCTCAGACCTTCTCAGAGGCAGGCACACACTGTAGAGGACATGAACAGCAGCCAGGAAAAAAGCGAGGAGGCCCAGCTGTTTGCGGCTCTGCAGCCAGTTTTCCAGCCAGTGTGGGAAATGCTTGTACTTGGTGCCATAGTAGAGCTGGTGGGCAGCTGCTAACTGTCCTGCAAGGTACACCAGGGCCAAGAGAGTGATGGCGACGGCAGGCAGTGTCCGATTCACTATCTCTATGGGGATCTTGTAGAAGTCACTCTGCTTGTATTTCATATATGGGTGAATTATATCTCGAATAAACGAGTAAGAAAAAAGAAGATGGAGAGGGCCACGGCAGCAAGAACAGGGCCCTTCCAGCCAGGGAACAACTGGATAGGCATGTTCTCAATATCACGGGAAGAAGACAGGGTGCCCATGTCCACCGGCTGGAAGTTGAGCTGCCGGGCTAATTCCATGATCTGCTGCCTGGCCTCCACCGAGTCACTGCAGATGAACACCTACAGGAGAAACATGAGGGCGGGTTAGAGACGACGGGCCGGTTCAGAGGCGTCCTCCTGTTTGGACGGTGCTGCGAGACTCATAAAGAGTCCATCTCAGCAGCATCAGTAAGCCTGAAGAGCCTGCTACAGACCTCTCTGCACCCATGCTTCTTATTAATCTCTGGATATCTCCCACAGCATGTCTTTGTCCCCCTGAGCCTGGTTCTGCTGGAGGTTTCTTCCTGTTAAAGGGAGTTTTTCCTTCCCACTGTCACCAAAGTGCTGCTCACAGGGGTCACATGATTGTTGGGTTGTATTATTGTAGGGTCTGCCTTACATTATGTTGTTGTGGTCTGCTGCTGTATAAATAAAGTTGAATTGAAGTCATTTCGAACGCTGCCACTAACCCTGCTTGCTCATAGGGGGTCATATGATTGTTGGGTTTTTCTCTGTATCTATGAAGCGCCTTGAGGCGACTTTTGTTGTGATTTGGCGCTATATAAATAAAATTGAATTGAATTGAATTGAATTGAATAACCCAAAGGAAGCACTTACTGGTATTTCTTCACTGACTCAGTGTCATCAACAGCTTTAAACTCTCTGCCTTACATACAAAGTATCACAAAGTCAGATTCATGAGCACGTGGCTGACCTCTCAGCTGAGGCTGTGGTATTTTAAGGTAAAGACCCTACAACACTACAGACAAACCCCTGGTGGGCGAGCATTTTAGCAACAGTCACAGGTCAAAACTTTGGTTTTTAAACAGGAGGAAAGCTCCAGCAGAGCTCAGGGACACGACAGGACAAAGACACGCTGTAGACGTGGACACGTGTGGCCCGGTTACTGCACCTGTGTGCTGGCATCCTTAGGGTAGCTCTGCTGCATGGCCCAGGCTGAGATGACGTTGAAGCCTTTGACCACGATAGAGTCTGGCAGCAGTGAAGCCAGATACTCGGCGTTGGACTCTGGATACTGGTTTGCTCGCTTATTGTTACTCACATCCACCAGGATCTTCCCTGCAGAACAAACACAAGCACAGCAGTCAGGTCACCAACACTGATAACCCAGACGTCTTTGCCCTTGCATTTCCTCCAGTCTCACAGACGCGGCTCAAACCAAAACCTTTGGGAGGTCAGTAGCTTGATCTGCATGCTGGGATAAGAAAATCAACCACCGTGTCCAGTATGTGTGTGATGGTGTGAAAGCACTTAGAGGTGTGTGACATACCTTCCAGTAGGTGTTTGAGGTCCCACACAACAGAATAGTGCTCACGGCGGATTGCCAGGAATACGATGTTAGCCTTCCCCACGGCATCTTCATGGTGCGTTACATCCACCACATGTGGAAATGAGTGGGCTGCCAATTTGGGATGGCGGCTACCCACCACCACATGGAAGCCACAGCGCAGCAGGCGAATGGTCAGGCACTTGGAGAAGTCACCTGATCCCAGAATGGCCACAGTAGGCTGAGCATCCCCGCACCAGCTTCCTGGACCTGCAGCTCCATTCTTCAGGCCTTTGGACAGCAGGGGGCCTGGACGTGGTGGGAGGAGGAGGCTGTGAGGAACACGGGGTTCCTGCTTCCACTCATCAGAGACATAGAGTCCATCCTGCGTGCTGCTTCAGTGGGCCTGGAGGAGACAGAAGCACGGGTGTCTGTAAGAACACAGCAGAGGATCCGCAGGTTTCACGCATTTAACACACTTTGTTCCACATTTCTGAGAGGTACAGCAAACACGTCCACGCTGTGTGTGTGCGTGCGTGAGCGCGCGCCGGGACAGGAGGCCTCCACTGGCTACCCCAGTGACCGCGCGGGGAGCCCCCACACGACATCGGCTCTCCTCGCGACCTTGTGACTGCAGACAGTGGTTTCGCGAAGGACGCGGTCGCGCGTGTGCTCGTGCACCTGCACCAGATGCTCTACCGAGACACGACGAGCTGCCCGTTTACCCCACTCACGCGCACACGTATGATGCCATGTTACCGTGTGTGTCACGCGGGGATGCTGTCGCAGCTGCTAGCTCACCCTCCCGGTCCTCCTGCTCAGCCTCTGCCGCGTGACGTCACCACACTCGCTCGCGCCATCGTTCACTCACGCGGAAGTTGTTTTCAGGCGATATTATCTGCAGACAACACTGAAGCGAAGCTCTCTGTACATCACCCACAGCTCCGTCTCCTGTTTCACCGTGAAACAGGAAACACGTCACTGTTGCCTGCTCAGCACAATGTGACGTCATGTACGTGAGGGCAGAGCTTTTGTTTACACTCGGGCTTCATGCTCGCGCTTGTGTCGCCTCTGTCTGGTGACGTCAGCTCAGTGTGTGCACGTGTTTGTGCATTTACACACATATACACTCTATGGTATTACAACTGTTGTAGATCAGTGAGCAGCGGGCCAAACTAACTGCAGTGCACATGAACCACGTGGTGCAGTGTTGCCATTCACAGTAGCTCCACATCAGCGTTAACACGGGAGGGCGAGACGTCCACAGTGGAAGACAAAGATTCCAGTTTTTAATCTCGGCTTTTGTCTCTGAGCACTTTAATCACTCTATGATCAAAGTGTTGAAACCAGCACGATCGTGCACCTGTGTCTCCAGCCCAGCTGTGACAGATGTGACCGGATGAAAACGGTCATCAGACACAGGTCAAGCACAACACTAACTAGGTGGTCATGGCTGCCAGAGGAAGCCCATGATTAGTCCAGTACGATCAGAGCAGCAGAGCTGATGTCTGGACTACAGCACTGACTCTTAGCTGACAGTCACGTCAACAACACTTATTCCTGATTACCTTAGAAATCAAACATTTACTAAAGGGTGACGACATCACAGGTCAGTGATGTCACAACCCTGTTTCATTTGGCCAGTGTGAAAGAAGCCTCGTTCTCATCTGGGACATTTTTAAAGTCATTGGTTTGCATATATCAGCACGGTGATCACGTGCACAGGTGACACCTTTGACATCATGTAGGAAACAGTCTTGAACAGAAGCACAGGTAAGTGTGGTTACTGCGTAGCAGTCACCTATTAACCTTGTTTACAATCCTCTTACTGCCCAAACCTGCACAGCACAGGTCTCGTCAGCTATCAGTGATGTCAACCTGAACAAAGACATCAGAACCAGGAAAATCAGTGTTTGCATCTTCTAGCCACTTCCTGTCCCACACCAGGCCGCAAACACTTTGAGCTATAAAAGCTCCACGAACACCATCAGTGTAGCCGCCGTCTCTGTACAGCTCACATATACTTAGTATGAAATGTGAACAGGATGTGGGCGATGGTCAGAACACTGATTCACGACTGAAGGCTGACTGTGACGACGTATTCTGCAAGTAAATGTCCTACAAAATGTCACAGAAGTAAAACTGTGTACAACATAAAGTAAGTCAGGGTAAAAGCACTGATCCTACATGTGACGGCAAAGAGATGTCAAGACAGGACCAGCTACCTCTGAGGGTGTCCAGCCCGTTTAATATGTTCATGCTGTTCTAACAGCTGCTGCCTTTATTTCAAGTCAGTAACTGATTGATTGTTTCAGCTCTACTTGTTTACATCGTTGGTTAGTTCAAAGTATAACTTGATTTTGTAACCATTGTGGAGAGGTGCAGCAGCTAGCACTGCCTCACAGCACCACCGTCCTGGGCTTGAATGTGGTCTGTGTGGAGGTGCTGCTCGGGTACGCGCCCTGGCTTAGGTTCACTGGGACTGTAAACTGGCTTCAGTGTGGACACTGTGCTGTGTTAGAAACCTGCAGGGTTGCTTTGTTGTTCACTTCAATGTTAAAATAAGTTCTTTATGAGCAGAGAGCAGTGACAGACTCACAAACTCATGTGTAGCTTGATTTAGACACGAACACAATGACAGCAGCAGTGCTGCCTCCTGTCACACAGAGACGACCCATGTGTGTATGAAAAAGTTTAGTCTTGTTATAAAATATTTGAAATGAAAACGAACAAAAATATCAGAAATGTCTGTTTTCCTCGTTTTTGTTTGGTATGACTTGAACACTGAGGGGGCGTGTCAGCAGCGGCCCACGGCTGCTTTCAGGTCCACAGCCCTGAGATCAACCCGATCGTTGAAGATTCAACCTTCTTCATTTGGCACATTCAGAGTTATACGAGTACAACATGCAGTGAAATGTGTGCTGACACGCTCCTCCGCTGTGCAAAACACGGATAACATTGTCATCATTATTATTACACTTACAAATTACAATGAATTTAAAGTGAAAGTCGACGTATATTTTTCTTTCATAAGCTCCACCTCCTCAGCACACTGCAGATTTATAGACACGTGTCCAGGACGTCTGAATAGATGTGGAAGCTAAAAACAAAGTAACGCGAACACCAAGCAGGAGCTGGCTCTGCCTACCAGCCCGCACTCAGGGCTTCACCGCCCCACGCCCTGTCTGGTTTTGGGCACGCCAGGCTGCCGTAGCCGTCACGATGTTGCTGTTGGGGTTCACATCAGCAGTTTTACTTCTGTGTTTATTTTTCATCATTCGCCTTTATATCGTTGTGAAGACGGGCGCCAACTGCAAGCCTGGAAGCAAGGGTCGGGTCACTGTTCTGGTGGTCGCGGGATCAGGTAACAGCGCGGAACACGGCCCCGCTGCGCTGCGTTCAAGTGTCACAGAGAAAGCTCGCTCATGTTGTTACGTTACAAACAGCCGTCAGCCGGCCTCCGTAGCTACCGGGCTACACCGGGCATGGAGCCATGTTTCACAGTGTTTCAGCAACACTGTGACACCGTGGGTGTATCGGACACGGCGTGGACGCATGCTAATTCTAGCCATGCCACGTATCTGCTGTTTTAGCTGTGGATACTGAACATGTTTGCTTTGTGTCGGGCAGGAGTGCGACACTTCCGCCACCGTACAAACAACATCCCCGAGCTTCCGGTACACTATACATACCTAGAGTGTACACAAAGGTCATTCTGGTGATTAGTGAAGTGAAAATCCGTCAAAATACTGGATTTTTCTTAATAATTCCATCCAGATTAAGCGATGCTGGTTATTTTCTATGTATTTAGTTGTTACAAGTCCTTAGAGGCAGGAATAGTTGTATTTCCTTGAAGAAACACAGTTTGGATGCATGCGTGGACCTGTGACAGGCGTGAGTCCGCTGGTTTTCCACGCTGAGATGAGGGGAAACTGCTGAGTCAGTCATCTGTGTGAGGTTGTTGCTCTCTGCCCTCCTGCTGCACACGGACCACATGTTTGACACCCCTCTCTCCGTCTTCATTCAGAAACGTCAAACATAAACTCACACGTGGATTTTGAAGCGACTTTTTAAATGAAGTCAGTTTGTCATCAGCAGTTCAGTCAGAACCTTTTTCCACTGAAAATCTCCTGATTCACTCTCAGTGGGTCTAACCAGAACCACATCCACGTGAAGGTGTTGGGCTGTGATGATTTTCACGCCACATCCTGTGGCACGTGGGCTGGTTTAAAGACACGAGTGTACGATCCGAGCCTGCTCCTTTCTCCAAACGTCAGCAGCATCTCTACGGGGAGAGCTCATCTCACCAAAGGATGCACTTCCAGTATGCATGAGCTTTGTCCGGCTCCAAGGTGACGTTTTTCCTTCTGAGACTCTTCAGTCCATTCCTGTGTAGGTTTCCAGTGGCTGTCATGTGTGAGACTACAATTCCCAACAGTCACTAGTGTCTCTGCAGTTGTTCCTGGGTCTTTAGACACATCTCGCACTAGTTTGCTTCCTTTCCTTGTTCTGTACTGCGTGGTCCTGCTTCTCAGTGCAGTTCTTGATGTTGGGGTAACTGTGTGCTCGTGTGCATCACAGGCCCATCGCTGTGTGATGTGTTTGTATTCTTGTCTTCAGTTTCTGTCAGCTGTAGTTTGTCCCTGTTAGGTAACAGCTGAATGATTAGATTTAAAAATCCAAATTCGGATGAATCAGAAAGTTGGTTAAATGATAACCACGAGCGTTCCTGCTGTCCATGGTAGTGACAGAGTGCTTTGGTGAGAGGAATAGTCAGCAGTATTCACATTACTCTGCTGGATTCAAACGGAGGCTCTGACGTATCAACTCAGGCTTCATCTTGAGAAGTGTTGCTGAGCATGCTCACTGGAATTGGGTGCAGGTCTGAAACGTGCAGCCAACACGACCGTTAGCCAATGGATGTGCAGTGTTCCTGGTCTCAGTGGTGAAAATACTCAGCTTAATGCTGACGATCCAGTACAGTCTGGAGCGTAGAGCTGGTCCTGGGGTGTAGCTCTGCAGCTCAGTCTTAGTTATATACAGTGAAATTACAACAGCAGTTATCTTCACACGTAACGACCCTACGGTGTTAGCGAGAAACCACAACAATCAAATGATCCCCTATGAGCGAGCACTTGGTGACAGTGAGACAAAAAGCTCCCTTTTAACAGGAAGTGACCTAAAACAGAACCAGGATCACTGGACTAAAGTATGGGAGAGAGGCTCCAAAGGCTAATGACATGCAGTAATAGCACATATACTATAGACAGCATGAGAAAGCTGCTTCTGCAGGGGTCATATGATAATCCAGTTGTTCAGTGATGACGCGACGAATCCTACTTCCGGGTCTAAAGTAGTCTGCGTTTAATGTGGCTTTTGTGTTGTTAGCATGTTTAATGTTTTGTATTTTCTTCTATTTAATCTCAAAAGCTCCTAAAACAGTCAGTGATCCCTGTTGACCTCCCTCGGCTTTTATTACCGCTAATCATTTATTTAAGCTCAGTTTTTAAAACCTTAGGATGTAACTACAGCCCAGCCCATGCAGCAGTATATGAATGACTAACCTCGTATTGTGGATGGATTATCTCAGTTGTTCTCCTGGCTGAAGTTTGGTCCTTTTACAGCATCCTGCCATGCGATTACATTTGTTCCTGACCACCGAGAACACTCACGTTAACTTTTATCGAGTGGAAAAAAAGTTAGCTTGTTTATATTATGCTAACATAGCTGTGTCGCTAGCAGTCACGCAGCACG